TTATTTATTTATTAAATGGATCAATGGCTACTTTGTAACATTTGACAATATTAAAATATTTTATCGTAACAATTGTATAGGTAATTAATATTTGCTTAAAAATTTTATTTGGTAACATCATAGTATTAATCAAGGTAATTAATTTTTTTCTAGCGAGAAGTAACGCATAACATATTTTTTGAATATTATGAGAGAATTGAAGCTGAAACTTGGAGATATTTTGAACGTTAACGAGGTCAGTCGCGTACGTCTCGAGGGCAGAAACGAGAAGGACGAATCAGTGATAACGAGGCGTTCCAACCGGGATTGAAACGCCACAGAGTGAGGGGTAAAAAACCCCCGTGGACTGCGCAGCTGTGAACCCCCTGCCAATTCTACTCGACTCGACGATACGTCGAACTACATGAATTCGAGATGCATCGAGCCCAGCGGGACTCGTTGCCATTTTGGAAAGCCGTCCGTATTCATACGGCTACGCACGTGGGCACCGATCTTTTTTTTCGGTTCTTGCACGCTTGCTCATACGCAGGGCTCGCTGAAATCACTTCGTTTTCGTTTTAAACAATGCCCCTTTTGTCGGTGGTTCTGTTTTCCCGCCGAGATTTTGTATCCATTCAGCTCTTTTCTCAACGCGTTACGGATAAAATGGTAAATCCTATGATAGTACAATGCTGCACTTTATTAAGTTGTTGCATATTAAGTGGTCATATTTATATTGCAAAAAATTGCTGTATAAATGTTTCGTCGATATTCTCCGTACAAAATGGCTGTTGGTCAAACGTAGTTTAAAACAAGCCGCAAGTTTTGAACAGAATGAATTTAAAACGATCGGATGATAGGGGGATGGAAAGCAATTTTCAAGTGAGCGTATCAGGACAAACCATAGAGAGCGCACGGTGTAACGTTATTCGACGGATAAAATTAAACTTCCGCGGAACGGCTGGCAAAGTTCCTTAAAATTAAGCCATTCCCCCAGAACGATTCGAGAGCAGTCGAGGAGCAAAGTAAACGGCGCACAACTGAGCGACTTAATTCAGAATACACCCGCCGGAATATACCGGTGGGGGCCCCTACTGATTCGCACGAGGCGACTCGCAATTTATTCCTCTTCGCCTCTCTTCACCTCTGCCACCACCACTACCACTCTTCAATTAACTTTAAATCACCCACTCTGCGAATACTCCTTCTCGTAACGCGAAACTTCGAAATCGACTCATGGTGCGCGTTTAAATTCCTGGAAAAAATATACACCCCCGGTAATAATTTTTAACTAATCGGGCTCTTAGTTAAGTTCCACGGAACAGTACTTTGAAGTGAAATGTGAAACGTAGATATTTTAAATAATCATACGAAATACACTCGTCTAACAGAATCGGAATAATAGTTCGTAGTTTGATTCGGAAAATGTCATAACGTAGGAGGGTACGAAGAAATCCTTAAAATTTTGCTGAGAAAGGCGGTGAACCACTTGGGGCGATTAAGCGGGCTAATTTCGAATCGGCTTACGGGGCTCGCTGGTCGGGTGAACGTCGGGACAGAAAGGGCGGGTTTGTGGCCGAGTTATGGGACAGAGGATAACTCGAGGGGGTGTGTATTGTGCCTGCTGTCATCCTCAGTCAAGCTTTCGTTACCCCAAATGCTAATTATATGTCAACCGTTCACGCGCCATATCACGGAAGGCCGGAGAGTGTCAGGGATGGAACAATGAGGGTAGCTCGACTAATGGGGCCTCTTCCACACCAAAGACGTCGCACGGACCTCGAGACGCTCTAATAAAAATTACACGATGTCTGGGCAGCTCTCGCGCGAACGACTGCCAAGCGTCGACTAGAGAAACAGCTTTTAATTCGAGGCAAAGGAAACGAGCTTCTTCTGTTTCTCTGCTTTAGACGCGTCCGTTGATGTTGAAAGACCGACAAGACACGGGTCAACCAGGCGATGAGTAATAAAGTTAAGCGACAGAATTCGTTCGGGCCAAGCTTATTTCCTTATCGCACACTTAAACGGGAAAGAACGATGGGCGTGTGACCTCATGAGCAGGTAGATTCACAGAAGGAGAGGGTGATTGATGCACCCTGAACACGCGAAACACCTATCCGCCCACTTTGACTAGCCTGATTGGGAATGTTCACATCGGGAAGTCGAAGTTGTTTCGATCATCTATTTACATTTTCCTAATCCTATTTTCATCTCTTACTGCCCATAAATAATTAAGGGATAATGACGAGATAAGCAAATGAAGAAAACGAGAGGTTGATCATTAGAGAGGTAGGAGAGGAGATAATTAATGGACCGACAACGAAACCGGGTAAATTTGCAAAGCCATTTCAAGTTCTTTCGAGCTCCTTCAACTTTCTTTAGGTTCCCTCATCGCCACCTAATAGTTTACTGGCGGTGATTGAATTCTTCGGACCACTTGTAACCGCATCGGTAAACTTTGCACATTTAACGCCAACCTCACCTGAGAGAATCGCGGGGATCACGATACGAGGTTGGCCGTGTTCATCGAGTGGGTCACGGAAGCCGGATTTCGTTTCACCCTCCGTATCGACCATTTCGTCTTGCCTGTATTCCAAAATATTCTTCGCCTACGAAATCCAAGAAAGCAAAAATAGAACGTCCTTCGTTTGAATTAGTCCTATCTAACAATTTGCGTTCGTGACAGCGCTTTTATGGCTCGTAAAAGAGTAGTAATATCTTTAGAGCCGATTAGGGATTCTATTTCTGTATTATTCCGAATTCTATTCATTCTAAAGACCCAGGGCAGTGAGGTCTGTTCTGAACAAGCGAAATGTCCGCCGCGTAAACATCGAATGAAAATTCCACGGATTTCACGGGGAGAGCCAGTTAATTCCAGCCAATAAAAAAAGGAAACAAAATGGTCCCTAGAGAGCGTACGTCGGCCATGCTTCAGCCGAGATTGAAGCAAATTGGCGGAATTGTCGGGTGCCGCAAGGAGCAATACTGATTACCTCGACCGCTCGTTAAGTACTGTAACAATACTAGCCCCCACCATGTCTCTCATGACTAACCCCTCTCGTGTCACTTTTCCAAGGGTGATATAGCCAACGACCAATCCTGTCGCCTCGATCCCCACCGTACATCTCTGTATTCGGTGTCTCTTTTTATCCCGGCGGCGCGGTGGGTTAGAAAACGCGAAGCGACGATAAGCGAGAAAGAGGGAGATACCGAGCGAACCACCTCTGGAAAGTGCTAAGGACGGCCAGGCAGAGAAAGAGATAAAACTACGTGTTTGGCGCAAAAGGGAAAAGATATTTGAACGGTAAAGAAGGAAACACGGAGGAGGAAGATAACAGAGGGCGAGAAGGGTAGCTGAAGAAACAAGGAAAAGTGCAAACCAGTCTATTAACTCTGATGTTCTCCGATTTATGATTAAAAATGAAATTATTATTAATCGCGCAAAATTCTACAAAAATGCATGCGAAATTCAAAAGAAGAGTAGACAGAAAAAAATGAAGAAGATATTTCATTGAGGGTGGAAAATCGAGAGGAGGAGTTTGAAGTCGAAGTCTCTTTTACGAGCACTCGAAAATACATAATCACGTCCTTTGTCGTTTTTTCGTTAACAGTTGCGCCGTTCCCTGGTGATAAAACCAGACGTCGACGCTTTTCTATAGGTCATAGAGGCGTTTCGGGGGTGCGCGAGGAGATCGTTTCCCTTCTCCAGTCTCGTTTCTCACACCGGGGTTGCTTTTCCGCTCCTTGTTCCCTTGGTTATTAGGGCTGCCTTTAGCTGTGGGACAATCGAAAGGTACCGGCTAATGGGCGGAGCTTTTGGGCAGGACCATTGCATCATATTCCACCCTGTCCAGGGGTCTGGTGTTTCCATCGTTTCTGGAAGCATGCATTTTTCATCCTAGTCAAATACCATGTTCTCTCTGACATTGGATCTTTCGTTGTTCCATATGAAATTTTACGTTAGCTCTTTCGAGTGTTAATTCTACCTGGTTCCCAGATTGTATTCCAGATTTTAAGCTAACAATAGAAATATTTGTAACGTAGAAAATCGTAAGCGATTTATAAATTTTGTTCACGGCACACATCACATGCATGATGAGAACTCGCGAACTTGGGTGAAACGGAAACGAGCGTTTCACGAAGCTACCCGCAACCAGTCCTATCCAATTCCAGCCGTCATTCCAAGTCCAAACATAACGCCATTCTTCGGGGCAAACATTTCTACTTTTCGACGTGCAAACCTCCTGTGATACCTCGGCGAAGCTTGCTCTTTAACTGTGCTGACCATTTCGCGACTCATTCAACCCCGCCATTCATCCCCCTTTTTCCATGTTACACATGCTTAATAGCTACCTGTATATTCATGCTGTTTTACGTGCGAATTAACATTCAAATTGCGTACGCATATGTAATTAAGTTTACGCATGGTATCTCATATTTCTTGATATATCAAATTCACTCACGACTCGTAAATTCGTGATTTCTTTTTTCTCGAAAAGCGTTTTATCTGCGTTTAGCTTAGGGCGAAGTGCGAAACGGAGCATTCCCTCGTTGTCGTTCGACGTTTGCCAGCCCCCATCGCTCAATGCCGAACGTACTTTTTTTATGTCAACACGAGGGCCAATTGAGTGGATATAATAGTGGTACCACATGTTTCACTTGGATTCGCCGACATGTGGGTTCTGTTCTGCTTGCTCTGTGTGCGCGTACTAAAAACACTAACAGACTTCTGCGAAGGGAGGATCGGGCGAGCGGCCACTAACGACGGTCCTCGAAGTCATCAAATTGATCGCCATGATTTGTGTACTCCCCCATTAGTCAGTCGATAAAGCCTCGTGTACACCGCGTGTCACGTTAAGAATTAGTCTAGCAGATTCGATTAAGGCCATTTTTTAAAAATGACTCACACGGAAATTCGAGTGTCGAACGCTATTTTAAACTTGCATAACAATTATTACAAAAATATGAAAGTAAAATTTGTTCGTAGAAACTAAATTGGTCTTGTTGCGTTTCTGTTGCAGGTCTCTACCATGCAACCGTTCTCGACTGGCAGTACAATGGCGACCGAAACACCGACCAGCCTTCCGCCAGAGAGGGTCACCTCACCGGCGCCCTGCAAAAATCTGACCTTCTCCATCGCGAAGATCATGGAGCCTGACAAACGTCTAACCGAGCAAACTAATCAGCAGACAACAGCTCAACCACCACCACCGCCAACGACGACACCAACGACGTCAAGTATTCTCCAACAACCACCCAGTCTACCTTCGTTGACGTATTCCGCTCACCTGGAATCGGCCTTCAAGAAGTACGTGCCAACGTTGAGGCATCAGAATCTGTTGCAACCCTATTCGCTCCTCTATTATCACCCAAACTCGTTGCTGAGAGCGTTTCCAGCGCCGCCGCCTGCGGCACCGACGGTGCCTCAGAGTTCACCGACACCCACCGCCATTCAAGAAGCCTTTTCGAGGGTGAGTCTGACGGAGACATCGCCGGAGAGTCAACGGGGCAAGAAGAGTCCAGGACCTCGAAGCAACGAGCTCAGCACCACCAATAAACAAAAGACTTTCACCTGTCTGGAGTGCGGCAAGGTATTCAACGCCCATTACAACCTGACCAGACACATGCCGGTCCACACCGGAGCACGTCCGTTCGTTTGCAAGATCTGCGGCAAAGGTTTCCGTCAGGCCAGCACCCTGTGCAGGCACAAGATCATCCACACGGCGGAGAAGCCGCATAAATGTCCGACCTGCGGCAAAGCGTTCAATCGCAGCTCGACTCTGAACACCCACAGGCGTATACACGCGAATTACAAGCCGTTCGTGTGCGAGTATTGTCATAAGGGGTTCCATCAGAAGGGCAACTACAAGAACCACAAGTTGACGCACAGCGGCGAAAAGGCGTACAAGTGCAACATTTGCAACAAGGCGTTCCACCAGATTTACAACTTGACCTTCCATATGCACACGCACAACGACAAGAAACCGTTCTCCTGTAAGATCTGCGGGAAAGGATTCTGCAGGAACTTCGATCTGAAGAAACACATGAGGAAGCTTCACGATACCGGAATACCGGTGTTGAACGGTCTCGGTACTTCCTCCGAGAGTCACAACCAACAATCGGGCTACGCGTCGGTTCATCATGGACCCACCTCGTTCGTCAGTCCGTTTCTGCTACCGCCACCAGGATCCACCAGTTATCTTAGCAAGATGTTGTGACAGGGTGAGAACATCCATTTCCAGAGAAAGACTCAGTGTCCTCTCATCCTAGGTCCACCTTGTTACACCGGGGACATCGGCCAGTTGACGCAGCCTTCGAAGTGAAGAGGACCTCGATGATATCCGCAAAGACGCTCGTGGTTAACGAGAATCCGTGAATTCGAGATCTTGAAACGAACCCTTCCGGGATCGAGTCAGTTTTCGTTGGAACACCATGAATACCAAAGAGACTACGAAAATATATGGGGAATATGCGGCGTGTACGTGTTACTGCACAGTTTTCGAGACAATCAACTACCTCATCTACAGCAAACGAATCGTAGGGACAAAGATTATTTCTGTTTCTATCGTAAGACTAGTCTCTGTCGGATTATCAGCACAGAAGGTCTCCGAAATAATTTCTGACAGAGACAAAACGAGGAGTTCAACGTTCAGAGATCGACGAGAAAGGACTTTCTCTGGCGAAGGTGTGCGAAGCAGATGGATACGATGTATTTCGAGTTCACGAGTTCACTGGGAATCGTTGCACCTGTGCCGGATCAATCTCTGTCCATCGTTCTTTCACAGCGTACTCTGAAGTTTCGTGGTTTAATCCGTAGCTACGAAAAACCGATGATATCGAACAATACCGTTCGAAAAATCACGCTGTTAACGCTTTGATTGGCACGCTCTGAAATCCTTGAAAATACTTTCGGTTGGTAATTCTATCTTCGATAAATTTCATGTATTATTCTTGAGATACCTAACTGTTTCTGTCGAACAAATGTTTAAGTATTCGGTAAATCTGACTTGACGTTCAAAGTGTTAACCTGATCGTACGAACCAAACATAAGTGGTTAGATTAATAATTATCTAACATCTCTGTTTCGACAAACTTATTCGCGCAGCAAACGCGGTGTGTCTAAAGAGTAATAAGATCATACTTTTTAAGTTTTTGAAACTGTAGGCAACATCCGAAAGAGGACAGTTCCAGTCGAATACTTTTTACCACTGCTAAAGTAGGAGCTCGATTTTACAGCAGCAGTCTTATTACTGATTAGGTACGCCGTATATATTCTTAACTCGGATATTCAGGCAAACATTACAATTTCGAATATGTTTGGCAAACAGCGCGTCGAATTAGACGACTCGACGCGTACAATTTCGACGGGACAATGATATTTTAACCGAACTAGCAGTTGCGAGCTACCTGCAAAACATCGAGCAAACACATAACCCCAGAAAGCAAATAATCGGGCAGCATCGAACGAAATAAACCATGTTTGGGAGGTAAATCAACAGAAGAGAGTCGAGGCAGTGTGATAGCTATTGGTTATTGGAAACCGGTCCCCCATGATATCGGAATTAATCGTCGCATGGAAGCTTAATCGATGGTATTCCGCGAGACACGATTACTTATTTATGTAAATAATTGTAAATATTTGTACCTGCGACAGAGGGACGCGTTGATCGTTGACGATTAAATGGAAATTGTGCTCGCTTCACGATGCTGTCGTTGAAACGAGAAGTAACACATAGATTTGCAACGATGATTCTTTGTCCACATTAGAGGAGTGTTTTATCTTCGTTCACTTCCGAGGAAAAAGCTCGAAGGTAGGAGCTTTAGAGCAACGTCCACGAATATGTTACCGTAAAAGCGGAAAATTTGGTAAATGCACAGCGGAACCTCGATAAATTTCTGCTGGAAATCTAATTTCGTGGAACATCTTTTAAGAACAAAGTTGCTTAGCAAATCTTGCCCTGAGAACTACTGCAGGAAAATAGCGAGGTTTTGCTGTATACGCTTACTGGTAAATGTACGCATTCACTTTGTCAATTTTTAAGATTCGAAAATTATACTTACAATCGTGTACAATTGCACACGAATGCAGTTTATGAAGTTAGTACGTAGATTGACTAGCGAGCGTATGTACATTTACCGAATTAACGTTTACCGTGACAGATACACGTTGATCGCATATTCTATTTATCTTTAGGCGAAATGTATAAAATTCGGTGTGATAGTAGCTTTTAAGTGACGCGTAGACACAACGAGCACAGTGTCGTTGGCCATTAATAAAATACCGTGTTGTAATTATGCCGTAGGGCACGTTCAGGATCGTTCGTGGCCATTGCGATTAATAACGGTCGTTTTTACGAGCTTTTGCAATAGAAAATGTTAATATTCGGCTCTATGCATTTTTATTTACGTCTCCAACACTTGACAAGCAATATCGTTTAATTATTTCATTTATGTTTTCTTCAAATTCTTCTCTTCGTTTCGATTGACATTCGCGATGGACTCGTACCTCGTGTTTTTCTAACGGATTAGGTAAGCTAACGAGAATGAATTAATTAAGCATAATTAAATGGCGAAGATAAGGGAAAACAAAACGTTATACATGTAGATAATCGGTAGAGTAGATGAAAATGCATATGTATGTGTCCCCTTATTGTAAATATGAGTTGATCCAATGCAATAAAATCATCGATACCAATGAATCGTTTCTCGTTTTCGTCCCTGGTTTCCCTTCCGCAATGTCCTTACAAATTCATAGTTTCATAGACTTAGTTACAAATTATTTCTAATTTTTGATACTTGACAATTTCACTATAAGAAACGTTGTAGATATAAACTGCAACATAGGCACATTTTCTCAATAAATCAAACGACGATAATTTAAGTTATTCGAACACGTCAAAAGAGTTCTTTCTAACTTCCACTTCAATCCAGCCTTCCGATCAGAATTTCTAAGTTTATCTTCCAGTAGAATTCAAAGCCGATTCGGCGAAATCTTGGGAGGATCGATTGGTCGAGGACAGAGAAGACTTAACCCGGGGTATAATGTACGTAACGAGGGTACGAGAGTCCTAATCTCTGGTCCGCATCATCTGCTCGATCCCTGATCTGCTAGCTACCGGAGAAACAGCCGACCCTTAAGCACATCTTGTCCCGAGAGCGAGACAGAGAAGAAGAACTCGGCTAGAAAAGAGTATCGGTAGAAAAAGAGGATGTTAGCGCGAGCCGTATCATTTGCTGTTAAATTCGATGCAATCTGTCGTCCGTTAGAAAGAGGCGTCGCGCAGCCATCTAGTATCGAGTGCAGAAGAGACGGGAGTAAAGTTAGTCAAAGGTGGAAAAAGAGACGGATCGATGTGTATGGAGGGTGGTAGGCATGCCGAGGGATTGAAGGGCACCTATCAAAGTGATAGGGAGAGGGAGAGAGAGAAACGACGACGTGATTCTGTTCTGATTTGCGAGACAGATATCCCGTCGGCCTTCTGATGTATCTCTGCAGAATCTGTCCTCTATCCATTAAATCGGGACTCATCCGACCACCGACTCACCCCCTGCTCGCAGTCCCTTATCAAACGTTGGTCGTTATGGCGTAGTCTCTCTATAGATAGTATATCTAGCCCGACGTACGTGTCAACAAGGAATTTCGTGTTTCCGGGTTGCTGGTTGAAATTATAGTTCGAATTGATACGCGTGAATTCGTGTCTTGAATGCGAACTAATCGATAAACAGTAACTGTGACTTAAGCGTCCGAGACTAATTTATCAACAAAATCTAAATATTTCATTTCATCTTTCGGTACGAAATAAATATTTTTACGTCGCTTAAGTCAGTGTTAATCGTTCGAAACCTCTGACCTACGATTTCACGAATTCACACCTCTTTTACAGTGTCAATCGCCGACTCGCCCAAGCACGAATCGCGTTGAACAGTGTTTCTTAAAACCGACAGGAAATCCTTCGTTACCTTTCAAGAAAGGTGTAAAAGAGTCTCTCGGATCAGCGGGGGTTGTATACAAACAAGTATTTAGCGGCGTTTAATGGGAATTATCCAGGCCGAGGTGGGACAATTAGGGGAGGATTATTAACACCTGGAGTCGGCATCACGCTGTTCCTTGAGTCGTTCGTTGCTTCTTCGCTTTCATACAGGGGCCGTGAGTTGCACGGAAACATTCTCCTCGACCAACTAGAAACCACAAAAGTAACCGTCAGTGTGCCATTCCTGTCCAACTGACTCGTTCTACCGCGATTCCGGTTTTCGAATTCGGCCCTGCGAGAAAAGAAGCCGCGCCGAAACCGTGGAACCGTGAAATCGTTTGAGAACGTCGTACCTGCATTCTTCGCGTTACACGCTCGACGAATGAAAATCGAGCGGTATTTTATACAAATTTTGAGAACTCGAAAATATTTGAAAATTGATACGAGTTCTAAACCAGAGAAAAAAATATCAAGTTAGAAAACGTATAACATTGACAGACGCTGATGATAGAAATAGAATTAATAAGTTGAAGTACCAGCTAATTCGATGAAAACAAATATTTCCGTCGAGGGGCCGGAAAATACGACGCAGCAGGACGCACGAAATCCCTTGAACGATATAACACGTCGAGGTACATAAACGAGACTCATCCCCCGTGTGTCCTGTGTTTTGGGACACACGATCGTACATATCGCGCAGCTAACGTTAAACTTCCCTCCCCATTAATATCCACGTAATTGGTTAAAACCCGTAACTGATGAGCGAACTGTAAGTTATTATGCAAAGAGACCCTTGGTTCTCGCGACGATGGGGGTTTATGGGATACGGTTCAACACCTCTTCATTACCCTCTTCATCCCTTGATAGATCGAGTCGCGTATCGGTGTGCATACTGGCGTTACACCGTCCCCAACTTTGTCATTGTATCACGGATCGTGGATGCCACGCCTGGCTCGTTACGAGGTTCATGAAAGAATTCAGTCGAGTGAATTTACACGCTTCGAAATATCGCGTGGAAGCAGTGAAATTCTTGTGGAAATGGAAAGGAAAAAAATAAGCTTTCACGAATGTTCGTGAACGTTAATTATAATATATTGAAAATCAGAAAGTCTTTTAATTTTGTACAGCCTGATATATTCAATTGTTAAGCTACATATCACCTAATTAGGTGTTAACAAGGATGAATTGCAGCGTCTTTGAGGAACTGATTGAACTTAAACACGTTGACAATTGTTTAGCAGGAAATTTGAAATCAGCAGGGAAGATGACACGAGGCTGAACAATGGTACACTGGGTGTTTCCTATCTCTCGGTTACATTCTGATCCGTTGAACTTTCAACCCCTAAACCCACGCCCCATCTAATTACGCGGTATCAGGTGTCACCGGCGAAGAATCGAAGCTTCTCCCTATCCTGGATCATTGTGCTCCGGTCGATCGTTATACACGGTTCGACGCCTACGTAAAACGGTCGCGAGAGGGGACGTTCAGCTAGTCGATTCATCTCGAATCGTTCGAGTCGAGCCAGTCGACTAAACGGAATACTTAGCGATCTTCGGATGGCCGAGGGTGTAAGCGAGGAGGGCAAAAGAGCGCGACCGTTCGAGGCGTATATCGCTTTTCCTATTGTTATCGCGCGACAGCTTCGAGCTCTTTTCTCGCGATAACAATGCGCGATCGCAGTTGCGTGTCCATTTCGAGCGGAAAGACGGCTCGACGACGAATTTCCTGGCAAACGATCGATCCGTTCGGTTATTTCAATTAATTTACTCGTCTCGATCGAAACACGGTTGGGAATAAAAAGAAAACGCGAAACGCGTTTCAATCTCGTTTTGCTTCCGTTCACCACTCTGAACGTCGCGGATTTCTGGTTTTCGGCTAATGGAAAAATTCCATTAGATCCGTAGTAATCGCGGTAGATCGTCGTCGAGGGAAAGGCTCGTTTGACGAGCTAACGAGGAACCGAGCACATTATAATCACGTGCTCCCCGTTGGTCTGGAGCTTGCAGAAACGAGCCGGATATCTTATGATAATCAAAGTTTATTGTGTCATAACACGGAGGAGGGAACAAATTGGATTGCAAGCCGTGCAGCCAGGTAAAGAGGTGTCGCGAGGCGGAGCAACTTCAAAGATGTATGTATGCATCTACGGGGTGATCAGGAAAATAGCTGTCAACTTGCAGGATCGATAGTCGTTCAATTTTTCCCCATTTACACATATCGTTTGTAGAAACATGATACTGTAATAGTGCACATAGAATATTATTCTTAAATATAAAGATAAGATTTGTATAAGTTACATTTTATGCAATGATGTGATTACTTTGTAAAGGTGTCCTATACTCGTGCTTATCCAAAATTAAATTGTTTACGATTACGAAGAAATTAATTTCAAGATGCAATAGGTTAGATACCGCTCTAATCGGTATGTCTCCAATTGTTGTTACTTCGACACCCTGTACGGCAAGAGAAGGAAAGGAAATAGCGAAGAAAGTGGTCGAGTGCGAATTCTTGCGTGCGCACCGATCTAACGAGCAGAGAATGATGGAAGAGAGCGAAGGGAGGTACACGATGTTCGGTATTATAATGATAGCCCTCTTCGAGCCACGGCAGCAAATGTGAAGGGTTCCATTTCGAAGCTACCACGACACCTTCGTTCTCGATTCTTGCTCGCAGAGTGCCATCGATTCGTCCAACCTCCTCCTACTTTCCACTCACCTCCACCTACCTTCCATCTTCTCGTTGCCGCTCGCCTCCTCGACCAGCTATCTTCCTCATTACACGTCTATCTTCGGTGTGCTCCTCTTGTCGCAAAATCAAAGAGGAACGGTGAAAGGGGATCGACGAACAGTCAGCGCACAGAAGTCGACTGTAGGTGATGTAGATACGGAAGAAACGCGGACAAATTCCGAGGCAAGTCAGTCAATTTTTATCGTAGCATTAAGTAAATCCTTTGGTTTATTTCTTTATATCATTGGATCTTGTTCATGTGCCGTGATTTGTAGATATTTTAGACGTAGACAATATTATGTTTTTAAGTCAACATTGATAATTAACATTTACCGTGAAACAGAACAACAGTAAATCAGAGGTTCCTAGGTTTTATAAAGAAACCGTTTCACGCTGGTCGCGTATCAAACGTTCCGATCGTTTACGATTTAATTAAACTGGAGATGTAGGTCAAGTTAGACATACCGGGAGGAAGAAAGTATAATCGGTGGGTAGATTACGCGCAACGAGTCACGCATCCACCGTTGAAAGGGTTGGAAGGTTGGTCGGTCGAGTGAGGGGGTCGCGACGACAGGAGGTCGGCAAGGGTGGCGGAGACATTTTCAAATCTGTTTAATCTTGGTCCTCGGTGCGTAAGTGAAAGCTATCTCCGTGAATGCAAAATCAAACAAAGCGACAAACAATCTCCGTTCGTCTCTGTTTGCTGTCGTCTCGGTTGCTCTGTCCGTCTTTCTTTATCTGTCCTGGTCCCTATCATCGGCAACAGCCAAAGTTACCGCGAGCTGGCGCAAAGTTGCGCCCCTTTGCATCGTCGCTTTGATGTGTGCACTCGACACCATCGTGTCACACTCCAAGTGTTTATGAGGCGAATCTTTCTCTCCTTTTCCCAGCCTCCATCCCCTCCCCCTCCTCCTCCACGCCATTTTTCCCTCGCTCACGCTGCGCTCTTCTGATCGCTGCTGAATACGACCCGCCACCCTCAGTCCATCTCTCTTTAGTCCACTTTCGTTGGATAATTAACCAGCTACCCCTTTTGCGAGCCTCGTCGCGGACCAACCAGCGACGACGCGGTAAGGTCATCGAACCGGAAATAGCCTCGCGCACCCGACCATCGGATGGGAGAAGAGGAACACCGTCAAGGCGAGAGGTTGAAGCGCAGACCCTGGTAATTAATCGGGACCTCCCGTTGTGCGTGCAATCGTGTGCAAACGCGTATATTTCTTTTTTCCTTTATTTTCATCCGCTCTCGTTTACGATCCCCTTCTTTTGTCTCTCGGCAATTGAACAGCTTCTAAATTCACTTGATCGAGATAACATTTATTGAAGCGAGACACGCGTCTAAATCCGTACAATCAAAGACTTCCGTAACTCCAGATTCCCTGATCACCAAATTTCTACGTCTATGGTACTTCTACGTTTCTAAATATTTATTTCCCTACTCTTAGATCTTTGCATTCGTAGATCCAATATATTCCCGGTAGTATATTCAATACTTGTTAGCATGTGAAAATTTAGTAGCAGTCCAACGACGCTTTGTGCGTCGGCAAATTGTTAGCACAAACAGATGGCCCATTACCGTATTATTTTACATTTCCGTGCACAAGCAGTTTCTGCCACGCGATTCAATTATTTCGCCGACATGGAAATTACGTATTTACGAGGGCAGGTTCGTTTCATCCTTTTCGTTCATCGCTCTTTTTACTCGACCGGCACGGCGCGGCAGAGGCGGCGCGTTCGAGCTACCGAATGAATGACGAACGAATGTGTTCCCGAAACTTGTTTCGACAGCGCCGATAATAAGGGTCCATTGAGATGTTACGAGTACACGGCAACAGTCGCCATTGTGTCTGGCCCGGCTTCGTACCTGCTCCAAGTCGAGCGAACATCCTGACAAATCTTCAATGGACCGGACACTGATTCAGGAAACGGAACTTTGAAGCCTCTAACTCTAGTCAACGAACCTGTTTGGTTCTCGTTCGTTCTTCATTTTTTCTTCCTTTCACGAATCATCATTATTCCTACATTTCTCGTGCATACTTAATTTCTGATGATGTAGTTACGTAATGACACTTCGACGTTTATTATAGGTAATTAAGATATCAATTAGAATTTGAACATTTTTGGAGTATTAACTTTACTACCTTATGATCTTCTCGGGGGTTGTGCTAGACTCGTAGCATTGCAGTTGCCTTATTTTCGTTCTGAATATACAGAAATAACGTTCTATTCGTTTCTACCCTTTTATTTTTTTCGGTAACAATGCGAGATGGTTAATTTTTTAATGTTCGACTCGCGTGACATCAGATTCGGAGTTGTGTAATTTTGCATGCATAAGATCGTTTCGAAAAATGTAACGGTACGTTACAAAGTGTCTGTATGGAAAAGACACGAATGCAACTCGAAACCCTTTCAGAACGAAAGAGGTTTACGCTATAGGGTAAAGGAGTAAAAGCTCGGCATTGTTGGCTGAAAATCCTCGAGGTTTCAACGTCAATTAAAGCGACCAGGTGTATTCTTGATGCGGTGGGGTATCAATAGCGAGATCCGGTACTTGTATACACGCGGAAAAAGCGGCAAAGCCGGGGAAACGATCGCCACGAACTTGACGATAAAGGAAACCGACATCTTTCGAGAGTAGACTTTCACAGTTGAACAGGAAGATTAAAGGACCCCGACTGTCGACGGCAATCGCAACAACAACGCCTAGTGACGACAATGGTAGGCGGTAGCCGAGATTATGACCAATAAATTGGACCATGGTTCATTTCACTAATTCCCATAATAATCTAATAGATTAACGATTATCTGTTTAGTGCGGCTCGTTTACGTTCCGTTTACCTTCTTCGAGGCCGGGTTCATTGAAAATTTTGAATGAAGTCCTCTGGTTCGCTCGGAACCAGGAGGATTATTCGTCGAAAAAAAGCGGATGAACTCGTCGCGCGAGAAAAAAATATTCTTTTTTTTCCCCATTTTTATTCTCTCTCGTCGTTATTCGTCGCGACGCGAGAATTTCAGAAATCAACGTGCTCGCGAGTTTGATAAAAATGAAAATAAAAAATAGCGAAGAGCGACAAACACGAGCACCCGGGCGACGGTACTATTTCAATTAACCCGAACGAATCCATCGATGACGGTAAAGAGAAATAACGGTTGTACGCGCTTATCGATGGCTGTTGTCCAATCGAAATAACAGGTGCTTATTTGCCGGGATAAATCAATGATACGAAAAATGAGTGAAGAGCGGTCACGGTCTCTTTGTCACGGGGAGAACAGCCGACAATTTTAGGGTGCAATTTAATTTAATAACAGCAACGGGACGAATTGGGGAGCTGACGGATCGACCAATCGTTTTCAGAGGAGGGGGTTGAAACGAGCAAAGACCGACGACGATCGGTATTTAATGCCTTCTGCGATTGACACGTAAGAGTTAAACGGCCACCCCATTTTGGGTAATCCAATGAGCCGTCGTTCGTGTTTTAACTCTCTGAGCTTTATCGCCCCGAATTCGAAGGAGATGAACACTTAGAAAAATTGCGTTTGAAGAATATTCTGCCGGCCGACTCTGCTCGTAAAGGGTTGAAAAACCGACCTTTCGAAAGAAATGAATTCTACGAATAAAACGGAGGGGTTGTAAACAGGAGCATCGATCACGATCGCGCAGAAACGAGGGAAACAATGGAAAATAGTAAAAAAGAAAAGGAAGAAAAAGAGGATATATAAGCGACGTCGCGGTTCGTGTCGATTGCGGGTGCACGCAAAAGAACAAAAAGCCTTTTCTGACGAAGGGTGGACCAGATTCTTGAAATCAAGCAGTCGCGCGTGTCGTGGTACTTCTGTTTCTCTTTCTCCCTCTTTCCGTGTGTTATGTGGGATGTGCGTGACGTGGGTGGACAGGTTAACGCGCACCACGGATTTCTGTGTCCCTGTGAAACGCTTAGCGAGATTGCACCCGACAATACAACAATACAACGTGCATGACACGCCCGACGGGGATTTCGTGGGGTGAAGAGGAGGTAAAGCCGCGAGAGGAGGAAGAGCAGACACCAGGAGGAGCAACACGAGGGAACAGAAGGGGTGGATTCCGAGCAGGCACTGAAATCTCGCCAATTCTAGAGGGATGCCTTGCCACACCCCTGTATCGTTCGTACTCGTGTACGTATTTGTGCGCGTAAATGCGTGAAAGGGTACCGTTCTCATCCCGTGAAAGTTCCATCTTCTCTGGTTCCATGATTCCCATCTTTGCGCTTCCTTCTTCGATCATGGACTTTACGCTTTCTTCCGGATAACCGTGCATTTCGTCACCGATGTGGGCCATTTAACGCTGTTTCACGACTCCGAGTGTAATCTTCCAACGTTCGGTCACTTTGCCACAACGTTGCAATTCTAAATTTTATTCCCGATCAAACTCAAAAGATACTTGAAAATGACAAATAAAATAATTATTATAATTATGTGAAATTTTGAAGTTGTTATTTAATTACTTAATAGGTAAGAGGACAGGGAAAATTAATGAAGCATCGATTTTTGAATCTTCTTTAGGTTTAATACACTTTTTACCATAATTAGATATATTAACTTGGTAATTTAAATTGTTAATAAAATTATTGTTAAAAGATAAAGCAAATATTTATATACGTTGCAATCATATTAATAATGGCCCATCACCTTCTTGTCAGAGAGGTACTTGATTCACTTTCTTCATTAATTTGTAGCAAAGCAAATCGTACCTGTTCTTAATGTGCGAAGCTAGAAAAAAGTCGCTCGAAACAAATACGGAGCCGGTAGGAAAGGCGAGTCGTCAAAGCTAGTTATCACGCAAATATGAGATGAGGTCAAATAGTATATCCACGTATCTCCCTTCATACTTCTTCCCAGTTATATAGTAACTTGTTATAACTGCTCTTACAGGACGTCTATCGCCACCGAAACGAAGCGGATTATGATACAGCTCATCGGATACACCGATAACCAAAATTTGATCATTATTCGGTTTGAAAAATACAGTTTGACGTTTATGGTTGTTACAACCTTCTCCAGCATATCCACGTCTATCCCCGTCGAAAAGGATGTTCTCCTGTATATAGTCGTATAGCTTCATTTGTAATTCAAATAGAATTTCGTCTACATCTGAAAATTTTAGTTCAAACTTTTGTTACATACGGATTTCTGTATGTTTAACTTCTAAAAAAGTTTAGGCCAAATTCAATTCAAAGAAAGGTATATTAAAGGACGATCGAATATTTTCGTGAGCCGCAATATATCGTACTCGACGCAAATATATATATTTACCTTGGGAAGTTTGGGAATCCAATTTTCGTAAAGCTCGTTCTAATCGACTTATTGCACTACTGGACGCAGTGTCGGTAAGCGCTTTTTGGACTCGGCGAATAAGATCTCTAATCTCTTTTGGTAATTTGTCAAAAATTGTTTGAAAATCAGGGATATAGGCTGCGAATTGGTGTCCATGTCGAATAAGGATATGCAATAAACCCTGTCGTAGGGTATTTGTCACAATCGCTCCCTTAAAAGAACAAAAGATTATACCTGCGCGTTTAATTCAGCTATAGTTCCAACAATTGTTCCTCGTGTTTGCAAATCGTGTAATAATTTATGACATCCGAAGTTTAAATTTACCCATTCTACGTGCAAACATTTGTTCCGAGTGGAAGTAACTGACGATTATTCATAAGAAAATATAATTCATCATAAATATATCTTTGACGAATCTAGTCACATGTCGCAAAGAATCGTAACATAGCGACGATTTTCACATACGTGGGAACTGGTTCTTGGATCTATCCTTATTTATAACGAATATTAAGTATCGCGTGATAATTAAAAGTTACCGTATAATTGAATGTGTGAGGCATACGAAGGTGCAACCAAACCGGTTGTCGCCATAAATTTTCGTCAACTACGTTACTGCTATTACTTGGATCTTGTCTGTTAAATCTTTCTTTCGAATTATTTAGTTCTTCTTTCGAACTGAACTTAACATCCCGTTTATTGATATTCTTTGGAAGATTTCCTTCTGGCGTTTGATTCTTCTTCTTTTGCAGAGCTTCGTTTTTCTCTTCTGGGGTTAAAGGTGTGGTTGTGTCTACTTCATAATCATCATAAGTGAATGCAATATCGAACTCATCTTCTTCGTCGGTACTCTCTTCGTCGCTGCTTTCCTCACTGACTTTATGACTGTGCACTCCGGACGATCTACGTGGAGAATCATCGTTGCTACTATCTCCTCCATAACGAGGAGACTGTGATTTCTGTGCCTCTTCAGATAAAGTTTTAGCAAAAGTTTTTGTAGCTTCAGTGTATACATAATTCTTTCCGCTTGCACATACTGCCTCAGTTATTACTATAGTGTCAATAAGTAAGCTTTTTCCTTTAGGCTTTGGAATAAGTGCATTTCGCAGTCCTTTTGCTCCCGCACTGCCAGCAACAACGTCTCCAACTGTAAGAAGACCTGCATCCATAACTGTGGAAAGGCTTGGGTCTTCGACCAAATTCTTGGTCGCTGCCACATATCCTTGAGGTTCTCCTGTTACTATACTCGTTCCGACATCATAAGCCATGGCAGCGGGGATAGCACCAAGCCCTACAATCAATAAGTTTCATAAATTAGAAAAATTTTTATTCAAAAAGATAAATATTTCAGCAATAATCTAATTGTATGCGCTTAACATATAATTAAAATTTTGATATTTCCATTGGTAAACATCTAACGATCTGATTAAACTAATCCCATAATTCTATAATAAAGAGATACAACTATCAGTCTTTTTATTGCGATGACTTACGAGTGCTGAAGATATCGCCCGTCGTAAGTGAGATATAACGCGTGTGCTGAGTTTATGGAACCAGTTCGAAGAACTGATAGTGATAAACTTACACGACTCGAGTGAACAAAAAATGCAGTACTTTTGCGTATTATTTTAATTTTAAAAAATTTCAGAATTTTTTATTTTGTCGTTTACCTCCAGTCACTGTGGCAGCTCCTACTACAACTGTGCTTCTATTCGCGGCATTGAATGCTTCCTTTGCGGCATGTCGATCACCAGAGAGATAATGGAAGGCAGCTTAAACAAATCCAATGTCGACATAACTCGCACCGTGTTTCATATCTAAGACTCTTCTACATAACAGATATTCATTTTACCTTTTGTATGACCCACACCAGGGATGTTATTTAGAGTATTATTTATGATCTTGTCGAATACCATGATGAATTAACGTCGTTTAATTAAATCGATGAAAATTATTCTTTAGTATAAAATTCTTTCAACGTAGAGAATGCTGAAAAAAATAAGATTTCGTATGTGTGCTATGATTTAACCGCTTCTATCCAATCGTTCAAGTGTCCGTACTGTAACTGATAGAGATACTACGCACGACACATCGCATACTCGTGTCTAGCATGCAGATATTGATGACATCATTTGCCAAAATACTACTCACGTGCGTCTGCTCCTCCACCAAGATATCTACTAAGGTTAGCACGATTGAAGACGTGGATAATCTTCCCACCGTGGCTCCAAAGATAGTCTTTTGCTTATTTGAATAATCTTAGTAAACACAGAGAAGAGAATGAGTAAGGACTCTATACTACGATGCCTGGAGTATTTCGTACACTGTTCTGCTTTCTGCTACGAAGTGAACTTGAATTTTGTACTGACTTCGAAGGGGGATTTGCTAGCACTAAATCTCTATCACTTCCTGCTAAAAATCTTTATCAGTGATATCTGCATCTAACGCATTTCGATAAGCTAAATCCCAACACAGATAGTGCGAATAATCTTTTCTGTGAATTGAAGGTATCTATGCTTGCACTATATTGTTTCGTATTATCAATAAAATAAACTTAACTCAGAAAAAGAACACGATTTTATTAAGATATACATTCTAGTTGATACTGTTTATATTGAAGATGTTGCTACTTCCCGTAGTGCCATGTATCCGTGTAGCAACTACATTCGTCCTCACCCTTCGAGGGGTAGACTTTCGAGTATGTTCCTTCGTGTGCTCATCCGTATGTACCTAGCCCATAAAATAACACACAATGCTGGTATTATGGATGATGCACAAGTGCACGGCCTCTTGAGTTTGCGCTAAAGATTCGGTCTTTGTACTATCGCTGAGGGCACAAATGGGCAATCTGATGTGAACCATAAAAAGATCCGCGTCTTTTGTTGGTGAGCTCGTAACATTCCTACTCGACAATTCTTCTCTTTACTCGTCTTCCGTATATCGGTTCGAACAACGGCAATGTTGCAGGATGAATAATTTTAAGGAGATCGAATTTATGTACAGACTCTGTTGCTGTTTTGGGAGGAGTTTTTTATCAAGGAGGTGGGCTGACCCACTTCTTCGCCATTTAAAAATCAATATCACGTCGCCTGAAGAACGTATCGCTATACGTCAAAGCGAGATCAAACTTTTTCAATCTCGATTAATTCCGCCGTGGCGGTATTGCCGTGACAGGACGATTGTTCGCTGTTAAAGAGCGCGGAAAACTGCGGTTGAGTGACACGAACGCTTGAAATTTAAAAAAAACGAGGGAGAGAGAGAGTGAGCTCTATGAAAATAAATAGAACACGATTTCCCTTGGTGACAGGTACCTACCATCGCTTCATGCGTGCCCGCCCGCCACGCCAATTGATCTTTGTCACAGACTCTTCTGTGACCACAGAAATTTGGAAAATAAATCCTGTACCGTGCTAAAATACTCGACACCTATGAAACGATCGAGTCGACACGTGTTCCGCGTTACGACGTTTACAACAATACGATTCTTCATTTCTTCAATTCATTTTACACCGGTTAACAAAACCTCAATTCAAGCCATCTTACCCCGCATATCTCAAACATATCAATTATTGCACAAAATCATAAAATTATAATCGTCTACAAAATTCCATTCGCAATTGCCTCGAAGTCCATTTAATTTCCTCATCGTCAAACGACTTCCTCATCTTCAACTCGTTTCTCCTCCTACTTTTTTTTCTCACCCCTCAATATCATTTACGCAAGAAAACTGGGCACAATAATTAATAAATAAAGGGGTAACAAATATTATAATTTTGTGTATCAACAAAGATCGTAACGTAACAATTTTCCCATTAGAAACGAGGCCGAGAAGATTGGTGGTTACACGCCAATGGGGCGTAAGAACGGTCTATAAATGGTTAAGCCGGTCTTACAGAGTTCGCTACCGGGGATAAAGGTTATAGGCCGATGATTCGGTGCGGCTCTTAGGTACGTGTACACACTGACACACACACGACACCACGTATGTTCGGTTGGAACGATGCCGAAGCACGTGAAATCTCCATGTAAGAGGCTCCGACCTTGCGCTCCCGTGATGCTTGAGGCAGCTACCGGGGGAGAATCCCCGTGGATCCTCGATGACGATGACAAGGACCGACAGCCTTTCCAAACACGCGGTTGTAAACGTCTGCTCTAGTTTCATGCCTGCTCGTCGCGTGCAAAGGTGACGATCACCTTACACGGTTAGGGAATCAATTAACGCTTTGACTCTCGCTGTGAAAAGGGTCAAGTCTGATAAAATAGGATATGTTAAATCTATAAATAATTGGTTAATTTTTAAACGAAAGATTTTAGTTTAGTTTAGTTTAGTTTAGTTTCCAATAAAAAAATTCCTCATTCCAGTTCGTCTTTTACATTATAGCTGGTGCAGTAAGTAAATTGTACATTGATTTCATTATTTTTTTGCACCAGTAGTTCCGAAACGTTTCTCATTCCATTTAAAAAAGGATTAAGGAAAGATTCGCAGAAAATTTCTTCAAGTTCATAAGATGGTTTCTCTTGAAACCCTTTGAAAGTTTTGAAAAAAGACATCCAGTACCGTGGGTCGTTCGCATGGTCGATTTTAAACGAACACGGAGACGCGTTCGTAGGAACAATCTTCCGATACGATTTCGTTCGTTTCGGTATCGCAACCCTTCACGGTCTCCATTTCCGAAAGCAGTAACACTAAAGCGTCGACAACGACAACAACAACAAGCAGATTTGGTCGGATCCGGATTGACGCTGCTTAAAGGACACGCAGCTAATCTCTATAATGCTGGTAATACTTTGGCTTTGCTTGGGTATTAAAAGCAAATACACTTACGTCGAACGAGACCCCATTTCCATGACGCTTCGACGTGAAGGCATTGTGGTATTAGAGCATAAAGGCGATCCGCCTGACCCCGTTTACGTTTTCCAGAACTTTTGTGCATCGACGACACAAATGCTCCACCGTTCGCCTAAACTCTGCATTCGTCGAATATGCATACCGTCCTACTCTATCTTTCGAAAGTTTGGAAACGAATCGATGATGACGTTAGAAATAAACAGATAGATCCTTACATCTTCCTTAGATTTTGCTATGTAAATAATAATCCATAAACATCAAAATTCATATGCAACTAGGTCCTTATAATCTTGTATTCTTATTTATCTACTTATCTATCTATGTCAGCTAGTATGTTTAACGTAAAATATGGTACACGATCATTATTTCCAAAGAGACGAAAAGCACGAAAGCCAAGATGATGTTCAGGGACTGAGAGGGTGGATCGGTGTTTGCGTGGGAGGGTTTCGATTCGAGTTTCGCGGTTAGGTTTAACACGGACATATGTCAATGTTTGCCCTCCGGCACACACGGTTTTACGCTCATCTGGTTACTTCGTCCTGGCGGACCCTTCTTTTCGTTCAGATGACCGTAGATCGACGATCACCCTTCCTGACAGGCGTGAGAGAAACGGAGTACGGGGGAGAACAGCGATTTACATTCCACTTGAAATTCAATTGGAAATTAGATGTGATCATTGACTGTAAAAATTGTTGAGTAATTAGTGAAACGTCGAAGATATTGTTTTCGCGACGAAGGAAAAATGTTGCGTATTAAAATCACGAATAGGTGAGCCGTCGAAGTGTTAACTCTTGACTAATGAGAGGAACTTGGACGGTACATATTATTTAGGTGGGAACTATATTTACTCTCGACGTTTGTTCCGTCCTAAGTTTCGGTTTCCTTTGGATCCCGTGTTGTACTGGCTTCGAGTGGTGTATGAAACGCGCAGTGCCACGGAAAGCAGCTCTGTTCGTCAGTTCGTCGAACAGACGAGAGAGAGGTATTGTGCGAAATGGTACATTCAACCGAGTTACGAGGAGAGACTGAACTTTCCTGTCAGCAATGGCTGCGAATCGGTGCTGAAAATCGAGTTGCAAACCGGAGAACAAAGTCGGAACTGTCTGTAGAGTCGATACCAATTAATTTATTTGCAATAGCCGCGAGGAAAACTGAATTGAACTTTCGTGGAAATCTCTAGTCGAAACATTTAAAAATTAACTGTGGATTTTGCAATTGAAAGATGATGTATTCTTAACATTTTATGTGTTGTATCAATAATAGTTAGACGACGCATCGAGTTAACGAAGAAGTTGCGAAGATTGTAAGCGAAGTCTACGGTTTTAGGGAAATACGCGACAACAAAATCGGATCAAGATCAAGAGTGGTTTATACACATCCGTAGTGCTCGAGAGGAGGTGTGAATAGACCGTTCTCGGTAATGAGGAACCTACTGGCTAAGCAGCCAACCATCCAGCAGCCCATCTATCTAGCCAACCCCGTGTTTCATCCCCCCATATCCATTCTCCATCCGTTCCTATCCCTTGGTGTTCCTTCTTCGCACCCCAACCCTGAACCGGCCTCTGGCACTGATGTTGCCTCTGCCACTGTGGACCCTCATCCACGCCTAAGGTTTGTTCGCATCACAGCCTCCATTTTAACCTCCGTTAGTCCAGCGATGATTTTTATCCTCTGAAAGAAAGTGAACGCCCCGTAGACGCTATCAGAAATAAAAAATACCAGATAGTTCTCGTTAGAGAAAATTCTGAATGGTGCTTAAATATCATTGAGTGCAATTCCGCGTATACCCTCGTAATTTACCAAATATGGTCATCCATCAGAAGTACTGTTCGATAAGAACCTAGACCTTACCCAACCGCGATAACGAACAGTGAGTAATGGTAGCTCATGAAGCGCACTATCAAAGCATTCTGAGAAGCTAATCTCTACCAACGACGTAGTGGAACAATATCATAAAACATGACGATTCAATCCGCAGAATCTTCAAGACTCTGATTCGAAAATAGTCGAACAAAGTGACCAATCGAGTTATTCATCCTTATGTACTTTTGCAAATCTTTGTGCAGAAAATATTTATTCGGGTTCTTTCCACTTTATTCCATTATTTTCCCGTTGAAGATTCTACGACGATAGATACAGCCTGCTGTACCAACGGATTTCCCGTTTACCTTTCACCAGTAATTTTCAAGACACTCGTTAATGCAGCCCGGCCAAATCGGAACGGAATAAATCGCGCGACGAAGATAAAGAAGGGTGGGACGGGGTAGAAGGAAGAAACAGAGAGACGCCAGAGATGGATTCTCGCGGGAGACGAGCTCGCTAGGGGGAAGAGTGGCTACGGGAATCCTTTAGTTAGGTCGGGAAAAGCGTAGACACGGCTGAAAGTTGAAAGGATTCCCTGGATTAAGACGCGATAACGAGCTTCGCTCGCTCTCGAAAAGCCGCCCTTAAGAGGATCACGAACGACGCCGATTCCGTGATTGGCTGA